GATTTTTTTGTGCACTGTACAGCCCTAACCAAACCAGTTACAGCTCGAGCTCCTCATTTAGCGATATAGGCTTCTCCTCCTCAATTTCACGTCCGCCTTCCGCGATGTCGCTCCTCACTGTCGCACACAGAAATATGTCAACAACTAGACTTTATCGTTATTATCGCGGGAAGACTAATTCTTATCGTGGGGAGAATTTTTACCGGTATATCGCAAACGATAAGATATCGCCCATCCCTAATAGATAGATAGATAGATAGATAGATAGATAGATATCTGTTTCTGATTTGATGGGAATTTTGTCCATTTATTCCGTTTTTTTTTTTTTTAAAGTCAGACACTGATGTTGGATGAGAGGGTCACAATCTCTGTACCAGTTCATCCAACGTGTTGGGGCTCTGTGTGGGCTCTTCCACATAGAACTAATTTTTATGGACCTTGATTTGTGCAAACGGGATATAATGCCCTCCGAAGGGCACTTCGAAGTGAAAACAATCATGGCCGCCATATTGAAGGGTCGTTCTAAACCGAAGTGCTCAAAACTGGCCACTTCAAAGGGCCCTTCGGAATGAAGGATTTCGAAGGGTACAACTGATGGACACTTCGGCCCCCATGATTCTTTGCGCTGATTCTTTCCATGATGACGGCGCCTCCATATGGGTATGGGATGATGACGCAGAAGGGCACTTCAAGGAACAGTTGTTTGGTCCCCTACACCCTTCAACCCTTCAAAGCTCTCACTCCGGATGGTAAACACTTTGAAGGAATTAGGGCATAGGGATGAGCCCTTCCGAATGGAACGCAAGGTGTAATAGAAAAGGGACTTCCATGTCTTGGTATGCTGAAGCATTATGATTTGAAGGGGCTCGCCCAACCCCCTGAAAAACAGCCCCATACCATTATCCCTCCTCCTCCTCCAAACTTCACCAAACAGTTGTCAGGATGCAGTCAGGCAGGTAACGTTCTCCTGGTATCCAGAAAACCTAGACTCACCCATTAGACTGCCGAACAGAGAAGTATGATTCATGACTCCACAGAACAGGTTTCCACTGCTCCAGAGTCCATTGTCAGCATGGTTTACACCACTCCATCTCACTCTTGCCATTGTACTTGGTGATTGTGAGACTTGCATGCAGCTGCTTGGCCATAGAAAACAATTCCATGAAGTTCCCGCCGCACAGTTTTTGAGAGGATTATTAATGCCAGTGGAAGTTTGGAAATTTTCAGCTATAGAATCAGCAGAGCATTGGCGACTTTTTCACACCAGGCACCTCAGCACTCGATGACCTGCTCTGTGACTGGTCTTCCACCTCATGGTTGAGTTGCTGCTGTACCTAAACACTTCTACTTCCATTAATACCACTTACAGTTGACTTTGGAATATCTGGCAGAGACTAAATTTCATGAACTGACTTATTGCAAAGGTGGCATCACAGAATTCATGACCCTTTTTTCACAAATGTGTGTAAATGAAGACTGCATGGCGAGGTGCTTGATTATATACACCTGTGTAATCAGTGTGGACCTCATCAAAAGTCACTCATCACTAAATACCGCTACAGCAGCCAGGACTTCTTCTAGAGACATAAAGGATAAGAACCTCTTACTCAAAGCTGCCAGATCCAAAAAAATACAAGTTCAAGGTATGTTGAATCTGATAAAATATGTTTCCATAGTCTAATAAAGGAACATGAATTAATTGTTACTTAAAGGGGTCATATGATGCTGCTAAAAAGAACATTATTTTGTGTATTTGGTGTAATGAAATGTGTTTATGCGGTTTAAAGTAAAAAAAAAACATTATTTTCCACATACCGTACATTATTGTTTCTCCTCTATGCCCCGCCTTTTTGAAACGCGTCGATTTTTACAAAACTAATCGGTCTGAAAAGCGAGGTGTGCTCTGATTGGCCAGATATCCAATGCGTTGTGATTGGCCGAATACCTTATGTTGGGGCGTGTTAGAACGAGCCGTTTTAGGTAGGCGTGGTTAACTCTTAACTTTTATAAAGAATATCTCTTTGGTTTTGAGACTTTAGTGTTTGCAACTTTACAGATCTTCTTTATGCACCAAGAGCTTGTAACACTCCAAAGAGAAAGGAAAAATTGAAATCGCATCATATGACCCCTTTAAGGAAATTTATTTTAGTATAAAATGTGATATTTACCTACTAGCCTGTTACTCAGTTCTTAAATTCAGCAGCCTGAATAGGTCCTGTGGAGTAAATTTGAGTGCAGTCATGGAACCAGTTACCATTAACAAAGCTTATTGATGATTTTAAACGTTATAATCCAATCATCATTTGTATATAATATTCTAATAGTAAATTTATCTCTCATGTATATTCTGCACTGTCCTGCAAACTTCTACAATGCGAATAAATCGCTTGCATATGTGACTAAACTTTAATGCTGGGTGAGTAAATAATGTATAACATTACCCACTGGCTAATAAATTGTTAGATTTCACTCACCAGTTTGGGAGTTAGAGGTTAAGTATAAGTTTAACACAGATATAGTTTAACTCGCTGAACACTCTGACTTTGTGCTTGAGATTAAAGCACACTTTTTCAATTCTTATCAGTAGGTGCGCAGCATATTTGACGCACTGTAAAGTCTAGTGTGAAGGTGCCTGTCTTGCTGTTGCTTGGTTGAAAGTGTTCAGTGTTTCTCTCACACATGTTAGACAGATGGAGCGAGAGAGTCATACTCTAACATACCATGCAGAATTGATGCACTAAATGTAAATAATATTTTCTGTTGTATATTTCTGTCAAAATACTATGCAGAAATATATTTTAGCAGCTCATTTAGAATTATTCATAAATTGGTATTATCAGTAGAAGGAAAATGGTTCCTTCAGTAGTTGGTGGAACTTATAAACAAACACCAATCTCATTGGCTGGCACTCACCAACTACCGTCCCTGTTTTGATTTCAGCAAATCAGTTCAAGCGAATGCAGAAAACGTTATTAATATTCATTAACCCAGCAGCTCACCAATCCTTTGACCATTTTGTATTGTTATTAGTAGTAGACTTAATAGTAGTATTTTTTATCCAAATGTTATGAATTTTTTTATTGTATTATTACTATTATTTTATTTATTTTTTTTACAGATGGACGGATGGATAAATCGATCTGCAGTAATAAAAAAAAACATAAGAACAAAATACTGTAGAAACACTACATGTTAATTAAAGAGGGTTACAGGAATAGATCTTGCTGCTCTGAGCCCCTCCCTCACTGTCTCTCTCTCTCTCTCTCTCTGGTGACAGTCCACATCCCTGGAGACAGAGAGACAACAGAAGCAAGACTCCACACTCTATTCAAACTATTTATCTTCACCTCCTGAGTTAACCCTTACTAAACAGATAAACCTACCTAGAGCACACTTCTGATCTGTCGCTATATAACACTGTAAATGGGGCTATTCCAGACTTCTATTGGTTTTATATACAGCTAGTTATAAATACTACTGTATAACCTAAACCTAACCTAACA